CAGGGGAGCCAGAATTTCAAGAATGTGGACTGGGAAGGACAGGGATGAAATCTTGAGATGCTCAAGCTACCTGGTCAAGGTGGGAAAGGCACCAGCTGTTTTCCAGTCAGTCAATGTGGACGTTTGTAAAACTGGTGTAGGAACATCAACCAACTACTCCGACTTCACATAGGGGAAGGGAAAGCACAAGGTCTGGGCCGACACAATCCACGGAGATCCTGTCACTTTCAGTCTCTGTCTAGCAGTGGAAACATGAAACATCTCCCCAGGCCATTGGAAGTGAGTCTGCTTAAAATATGTTTCAGCCTCATCTTCCCTGCAGTGGAGTTCTTTCAAGATGAGGATCCACCCAATTTTCTGCTGTGAGGTGTCATCAATAAGTTAATGGAACATTGACGTTTTGATAAAATTATACATGGATTTCAGAAACATTATTTGCACCCAGATAAAACCATATGCTTACTTGTTATAGTATGTCTGAATAGGATATTGTTTGAAGCACTAAGAAGATAAGACATCAGTTTGAAAAGAGCCATGATCAGAGGACTATGAATTCTACAAAAATTGAAGCAAGAATGAAAATCTAATTTATGATGAATCTTGCATGTAAGCATGGTGAATCATCGATGCTTTATAAAAAATTTACAGGGACAATGCTCAAAACAAATCAATATTTTACAGGTGGGTAACTTGTTTTAAGAAGGGGCAGGACAACGTTGAAGATAAAACCTGCAACAGCAGCACATCATCCACATCAAAAGGAATTATTTCCAAGCCCTAATGATTAATAGCAGAAACAATAGACAAAACCATGGACATCTCAAATGGTTTAGCTTACACAAATCTGGCTGAAAATTTGTTGAAAAAACTTTGATGGGTGAGTAACAAAACCAGATCAAAAGGAGAAGAGAGCAGAGCTTCCAATGAAAATTTTATAACCAAGTGAGATCAAGAGCCTAATTAATTTCTTCAAATCATTGTAACATGACTTTACCCCTATGACCCGAAGAAAAGGCCCAATCAAAGCAATGGCTACCAAAAGGTAGAAAGAAGCAGACAGTCAAAAGAAAAGTGGGATTGATCACCTACAAAGCTCCAACTTATCAGAACAGCAAAAAGTGTGATTTCTGACAACCAGCCTGTTGTTGGTACCATAACCACCCATCTTGCCCCCAGTTGCCCTTGAAGCCTAAAAGACTACCGTTCGGGAACAAGCACCCAGACCTCACCCACCATCTGAGCCTGCACAACCTACTTCTGGGTCAGGTCCCTGATCTCAGATAACAGCTCTCTTACTGCCATCGAGTTGATCCAGACTCCAGCAACCCTATAGGACAAAACTACCCTTGTGAGTATCTGAGACTGTAACTTTTTAAAAAAAATAATTTTATTAGGGGCTCATACAACTCTCATCACAATCCACACATACATCAATTGTGTAAAGCGCATTTGTACATTCATTGCCCTCATCATTCTCAAAACATTTCCTCTTCACTCAAGCCCCTGGCACCAGGTCCTCATTTTTCCCCTCCCTCCCCGCTCCTCACCCCCACCCCCGAGACTGTAACACTTGAAGGGAGTAGAAAGTCCTGTCTTTCTTTTGAGGAGTGGTTGGTGGTTTCTAACTAAGACGACAGCCAACGCAATCTAAGACAGGCTTCCCACTTGCTCACTTGTAAGCTCCTTGGCAGCTGCTAACCAGGACTGGGTACCCAAGCCATCCAGTCTTCCCTGTGTCTGCCCCTACTCTAATTTTATTTTCCTTCCTTGATTTTATCTTTTCTCTATTTTCTTTTTGCTTCTTGCTTATCTCCTGTGGGGAACTGAGGGACTATATGAGAATGCAATGCAGCTAAATTCTCTATGCTCATAATAACAGAGTCTGGGGGGAAGACCCTCATGGGGTTATGAGATGTAAATATATCTTTACACGAGAGCATCCCCTAGGAACCCAGAGGGGAGAAGCCCTTAGAAGTGGACTATCATAAGGACAAGAGGCAGGCTGTAGAACAGAGCTGAAAAACACCTTTACTTCCACAGATAGAGAAGGGAACTTCAGAACAAGGGGATCTGAAGACCAGACAGGTTTTCCCTGTCTGTGTGGTCGATGTTAACAAGGATATGAGAAGCATCTTTATAGTGCTTTCCCTTTCCAGGTATTAAAAGATATCAAGCAAGTTCTTAGGGAAAATGATACTAAAGGGCAAATGTTTTAAATGTGGGAAGATCAGACATTTCCAAAAAGAATGTCAACAAAGTGTTAGGTTTCTTGAGTAGGTAATACCTTGGTTCTTGGCTTCCCACAATGAAGAGAATTCACGCCAAAACCCATTTTGTAATCCAAGTGGGTTTTGATGAAGGATAGGACAGGTTTCAGGTTTTACAGTCTCAAAGGGGTTCACAACTGGGCCCGAACAACCACGTAGAAAAGAGCACCTATGCGTGCAGAAATGGGGGTGGAGGGATCCGGAGAGGTCAGAAGCCCAAGAACCCTAGAGGCTAAGAGCATGTGGACCCAGAGGCTGTGGGCCCCGAGTGGGAGCCTGTGCACCCACATGGGGGAGGGAGACCCTCCCCCTCTACCTTCCTCTGACCAGGAGCAGGGTAAGAGAGAGAAGCCTTACGCAGCCAGGATATTTCTACCCTCTGGCTGGGGGTGTATGGTTGAAGGTATTGGTTGACCCCATTGGCTGGCTTGAGCCCACTTGGGTAATATCATGAGCCTGGGCCTACTTTGGACAACCCAGGTGTACCACCCACCTGGCTCGGGGGCTTGAGTAGTAGCATGTTCAGTTTGGGGTCTTCATAGATATCTAATGGTTGCCTGATTTCTTTCCAACCTCACCCATCCCTAAACTAGCTACCTAACAAAAGTCCCTCATTGAACTCAACAACTGGGAATGGCCCGGGATCCCCAGATTATCAAGAACCCTCCCTCCCTGCATTGTAAAAAAGGGAACCTCTGGATTGTCCATCAAAAGTCAGCAGCGAGGGGTTTCCCTTAGTGAATGCTGCCCAACAGGGAAACAGGGATCAGTCGTGCTTTGAGCCACACCCAACAGCCCTGGGGAGCCCAGTTCCAGTCCAACTGGACTCAGTCTTACCAGTCCATCTAACCACTCAGTCCCACCACCGAAGGAACACAGCGGTAGAGCTAACCAGCCGAGAAGTCGTTCAGCTGGTCCCAGGGGACCTTCAGCAACCATTAAGACCGGTGTCTGGGGACCCCTACCAGAAGGTACAGGACTGTTGGAAAAAGCTAACATAAGTTCTCAAGGTGTTCAAATTGCTACTAGAGTTATTGATCAAAATTATGAAGGAGAAGTTAGTCAGTCAAAGTATGGCAGAATGGAAAAATCCTGCAGTGTGTAGAGCCTGAAGAACAATGCGGTTTAATTATGGACGTAGTTACACTTAACCTTATGGCAGAATGGAAAAATCCTGCAGTGTGTAGAGCCTGAAGAACAATGCGGTTTAATTATGGACGTAGTTACACTTAACCTTATAAACCTGTGGGAAAGAGATCTGCTGCCCCAAATGGCCACATTAAAATAACTCTCAATCTTTGGATTTATTCGTGTGTGTCATGAAGGCTGAACTATGCCATTTGGTATCAGCATTTTAGGGACTGACTCAACAGATACAGAGTTCAGCCATTTCTCTGAGAGCAGAGCTTCTGAATTTGTATAATGATGTAAACTGTCTAAGAGGTTCAACTGGTTTTACACCAAACTGTTGGTAATTACTGATGGCATTTAAAAATATCAATTAGTAAAACAGAAGATAGAGATGAAATGAAAGTCTACAGGAAATTCTGTAACAAATTTCACTCAGCTTTATTAACCCCCAATTTTTTCTAACAAAAACGTTTAAAGTATCTAGAGCAAAAGGATACTTTTCCACCACTACAGACAAAGCCAACCATGCAGATTTGGCGGAAGGATGAAAATCATACTTGGGACCCGGGTTTGCTAACGGCCCAAAAGGAGGGGCTGTTTTGTAGTAATGCACCACAATTAACCCCGATGTAACCATGATGTAGCAGTCAATTTACATGTAGCCATCTTAGTAAAGGACTTACGGGTTGGATGTAGACAGGCTCAACTCTTAGTCTATGACCTTTAGTCACCTTTCCAGTCTGGGACTGAACTTACCCTCAAGTCAGAATAATCAACCATTTAAGACCAAAAGGGTATGATTTACCCAAAGACAAAGTTCAGAGGGCTAGGAAAGGAGGAATAATGGTAAGAATAGGTGATGGTACCTTGAGGGGATTGAATAGCATGAGCTCAAACAATGTGTTTAAGAGTTGTTGAATGTAAAACGGATGATCTGCTCTGTAAATCATCACCTAATTCACAATAGTTAAAAAAAAAAAAAAAAAAGCAGCCCACTCAAGATCAAAAGCCTTGGCATGTGTTTTGTTAATGCTCAGTGTATTTTGTTAGCCAACTTTCTGGAAGGCCAAAGAGTGATAGCCTGTTTCCCCGAAAGTAAGACATCCCTCGAAAATAAGACCTAGTTTTGTCTTATAGGCATATAAGGCATCCCACCCGAAAATAAGGCCCCCTGAAGCTACCATAACTCTGGAGTCTGGACTGTACTGGTGGGCCCTGCCACGCAGCTCACTGTTGGCTGCAGCACAGCTGGAGCAGACAGGAAGTGTGAAGTCTCTTTTAATAAAACAATAAATGTGTACCATATTCTTCTTCATGGAAAAATAAGACATCCCCTGAAAATAAGACCTAGTGCATCTTTGGGAGCAAAAATTAATATAAGACAGTCTTATTTTCGGGGAAATGGTAACATCTGCTTATTATGAGTGTTCAGAAAGGTTACTAAAGTTTTGGCAGAAAATGTGAAGGTTCACCATAGACTTCTACCCCACCAAGACATTGCTCTTATTCATTCCTCCCATCAAATAGGAGGGGTTTCATGAGTTTCAAAGGGAAATCATTAGGTATCTACTTGATTTAGCACTGACCTTTGTTTCTTAAATCTAAAAGTACAGAATATTAATGGGTACCTATTTTAATTCTACTAATAATATAAAAAAAGACACAACTGACAGGGTTAAACTCCCAGGACCCTCAGTTCCTTATGGATGAATTAAATGGTGGCATCATTTACAAAACGGTTTTGTGAACTCAATAGAAACTCATGATGACAAGAGTTTTTAATTTTATTTTTATCTTTTCCACAAAAGGTTGACAAAATTGACTCAATAGCAGCAGGTTTGATTATCCCTGAGGACATGTATTGCACAGACCTTGATTTTTAAAAGGAACCGGGGACATAGAAGGAAATGGTTTATTCCATGTCTTACTACACGGTACACAGTGAGCTAAGCACGTCCTGTGTACACACACACGTGCATTGGGCTATACCAACATCCTATGTGGCTACTGCTGTTAAGATATGGGATTACCTTTAATTCTAGTTAATTTAAAAAAGTAATCAATCATTGGAAAACATGAGTTAGAGTAATCTGGAATTGTGAACCTATTTTTAACAAAAGTAAAACTTATAAGATGCTGTTTTCTCTGGGTTCTGGAAGACTGAGAACAAAAAGATGTAAATGTAAGAAGTCCCATAACTAAATTTATACTAATTATTAACTTCATTTACATTTTACATCAACAGTAAATAAGCATATTGGAATAAATACGATTTTTCACTGGCAATTTCAAATTTCAATTTTACTATTATAGCTACAAAACATTTAAAAATCTGTTTGATTTGCATTTATATTAGTCAGAACTGTGTACACCCAAAGTACATCTTTAAAAAAATTACAAAAGATAAACTAAACAAAGTCATGATGAAATACATACAGTGAAACCTATGGAGGGAGATTATGATGGGACTGCCTATTTTTTCTTGGCCTAACACATGTTTTACTTTTTATAGGGTGCTTATCAAATTTAACACTCTAAGAATCTTTCTTCATAAATACCAAGTGAGTTTATCTTTTCTGACAAGTTTCTGACTTTATCATATTCCATCATTCACAGGTTTCACTGTTTCAAGTTCCAGAATATTTTAACATTTTACATGACAGATTAAACAGATGTAAAAATTAAAAGGCACTAAGGAAATCCTGTTTGGATGCTGCTTCAAAAACAACTATAATAGACACTTCATGGAGAATTGTCGAATGTTTATTTGTTGCATGGGACAACAAAGCTATGGTTTTGCTAGAATTAACCTTAGATGTAGAAGGAGCACGCTTAAAGGGTGAAGTTAAAGTTCTGTAACTAACCATTGTTGTGTTATCATAATTAAAATACAGGGGCAAGCCCCTTGTCCATAAAGCTTCAATCTACAGTGAATTTTCATGTTTAATGAGATCTGAGGATTTGCAAAAGAATTTCCCACATCGCCTATTTCCTTCTCTCCGGGTAATTTTTTATGTACTCAGTGAATGATGTGGAAAAACTAAATGCGTTCCACGTTCCTTACATTCATACCAATACCCCCAGTGTGAAATCATATTCAAGAAGCACTAAACTCTAAGGCATCTCACATTACTTACCTAAGGATTTTCTCCATGGTGAGTTCTTATATAAGCAGTGAGGTATGAGAAATTATGAAACAATTATGAATTGTTTGTCAGCTATTTTTCATACGTTACGGTTCTCCACACTGTGAATTTTCATATGTATAGCAAGATGTGAGGACTGACGAAAGGCTTTCCCACATTCCTTACACTCATAAGACCTCTCTCCACTGTGAGTTATCATATGTCTAGTGAGGTCTGAGGACTGACTAAAGGCTTTGCCACATTCCTTACATTCAAAAGGTCTCTCTCCACTATGAGTTCTTACATGTTTACTAAGGTGTGAGGAATGTCGAAAGGCTTTTCCACATTCCTTACATTCATAAGGCCTCTCTCCACTGTGAGTCCTTAAATGTGAAGTGAGGTGTGATGGCCAACTAAAAGCTTTCCCACACTCTTTACATTTGTAAGGTCTCTCCCCACTGTGGATTCTCATATGTGTAAGGAGGTGTGAGGAATTACGAAAAGCATTGCCACATTCTTGGCATTCATAAGACCTCTCTCCACTGTGAGTTCTCATATGATTAGTGAGGTGCGAGGAATGACGAAAGGCTTTGCCACATTCCTTACATTCAAAAAGTCTCTCTGCACTATGAATTTTCATATGTATAATGAGGTTTGAGAAATGAGAAAAGTCTTTACCACATTCGTTACATTCATAAGATTTCTCTCCAGTATGTGTTCTCATATGTCTGGTCAGGTCTGAGGACTGGCTAAAGGCTTTCCCACACTCCTTACACTCATAAGGCCGTTCCCCACTGTGAGTTCTCATGTGTATGATGAGGTGTGAGGAATGACGAAAGGCTTTCCCACACTCCTTACACTCATAAGGCCTCTCTCCACTGTGGATTCTCATATGTGTAGTGAGGTGTGAGGAGTGACGAAACGTTTTTCCGCAATCCTTACATTCATAAGGCCTCTCACCACTGTGACTTCTTACATGAGAATTGAGTTGGGATGGCCAAGTAAAGGCTTTCCCACATTCATTACATTCATAGGGTTTTTCTCCAGGAATAGTTCCAACAGGAGTGCAGAGGTAAGAGAGACAACAGCAGGCTTCTCCACATTCCCTATACTGGTAAGCATTGCATTCAGAATGATATCTGACATGATATCTAAGTGATGATTGATCCATCAAGGAGTCTTTACATTTAAGGAATTCAGAAGGACATGCTTCCAGAGTTGTTCTTTTGAGAACAGAAAGATCAGGAATCCAGTTGAAGTTTTGTCCACACTGATAGTCTTCATTACTTTCACAGAGGTCCTCTACTGTATTTCTTCTGTTAAAAATAGGCAGCATGCTGTTGGGTAAACATTTACTATGATTACCATAAACAAAAATTTGTTTCACAGATTAAATCACCAGGCATAGATGCTATTTAGTGTGAAGAATGACATTTTCAGTGTGCTTTCAAAAGACGAGGCTTTCTAATGTTTACTCACGTTTATGAAAATAATATTTTTGTGAATGCAATGTGAACACAAATTCCTGCCTTGTATTACATACATAGATATAGACATAAAAGATGGCTTAAAAAAGTTCACATAGAACGCTAATTAAAATAATGGAATTTTACATGAACTTTTTGAAGCCACCTCATAAATATACATACATACTTATAAAATACACACGCACATATACAATGGTGCTACAAAAAATGTGAGAAAAAATTCCCTTACCTTTTAGCTTTTTCAAAAATATAAACACACACACACACACACACATCTATATTAAGATGTCACTTTGAAGACTAAGGTGTACCTGAGACAGACATGGTATTTTCAAACAACTCATAGGCATGAAAAACCTGGACAACAAATAAAAAAGACCAAAGAAGAGTTTATGCTTTTGACTATGGAGCTGGCAGAGAATACTCAATATACCATACACTGTCAAACAATAAATAAATTTGTTTTGAAAGAAATACAGCCAGAACGGTCCTTACAAGTGAGGCTAGTAAAATGTTTTCTTTTGCACTATGAACATTTTATGAAGACAGACCAGTTTCATCCTGCTTCACTTTAAGTCAAAACTGTTCAACAGCAACTAGCAACACACTGTTGCTGTTGTCAGGTATTTCCCAGTTGAACGCAGCCCATATGGCCCACCAACTAAAACTACCACAATGATACTGCAAAGCAATAAATAGTTATGAATTGCTTTATTTCAGTTAACAGCCGAGTACTTAAGCATTTGTGCCACTTGGGCACTCTCTCTCTGTATATAAATATTTTAATACCATGATACCTCATGACCTTAAGCACTGCTCTCTCTCTGCGTGAATGATACTCACCTCATATCTGGTTTTTGGCTGTTATTCTGCCCTTCAATGCATTGCAACTCACAGACTTCTTCTAAAATGGAGGGCCAGGTGTCATTCTTCATGATTAGAACCATTATATTTTCAGTGGACAGATTTTCTCCATCATTAAGGTTTTGAGAATCTGACCCTATTTTTGTCGAGTTTCACAATATGGAACAAAAATTCAAAAATTAATTAGTGAGTAAAGGTAGTTGTGAGTAAAAGGGATACTTGACACATTTTATTATTTCACTAGTTTGGAAATTATCAAAAAGCAATTTTATTAGGAAATATTTCCATGAAGATTGAGAATTAAATTGTCATAAACAGAATGCACAAGAAGAGCCAAGGTGAAAGGCACTGGGTACGATGCGCATGGAACATTGAGAGAAAGAAAGGTGGCAGTAAGTAAGTGGAAGTAAGGGGGAAAAAAGAATGTTCTAGTAACTGTGAAGTACATACTACTCAACTTAAAAGAAAATGTTTCTAAATGACATGCATATAATACTCCTCCATGAGGGCTTGGTCCTTCAAAGGATTCTTTTCTCCTGGTGCCCCATGACATAATCCTGGGTGAATTGTATCTGCATTCTTACCCTTTCTGTTCCGGGAGAACCAATGGTGTAGCTGACATGATGATCACGGAGATAAGACTATCATATGGAAAGATCAGAAAGAACAACGAATCCTTCCCTGACACTGAGCCAATACTGTCATGTACAAGGTATCTGGAGATGGCAGATATGAATGTACTTGCAGAAAAGTAATTATGTCAAATATGTAATGAACACAGTAAGACTCCCATTCAAGGTCCCAGAACACAAAGTATCTCTGCATCAGAGAAACCTCTGAAGTCTACACTCATATTTACAGTATATAAAGCATCAAAAAACTTTTAACCAAAATTAAAATTTATTATACAGAGATTTGTGTTGATGAGGATACTGGGATATGTTTGTTCCATATAGCAAATTACCATACTCGTCTTATTTTAAAAACCATATCAGTACTCATACAAAATACTAGAGTAACATCCATGAGTATAATGTATTTGGTCACTAAATAATAAGCCTTTCAAGATGAAGCCATCCATACCTACAGAGGCCAGGTTTCTGAAAGTTTCCATCATCACGTCTCTGTAGAGTTTCCTCTGGGAAAGATCCAGCAAAGCCCACTCTTCCTGGGAAAAGTCCACAGCCACGTCTTCAAGGGCCACTGCGTCCTGAAACATCCACATCTCTGGTTCAGCAGCCACCAAGTACTCAAATGTGTGAAAGGAAGGGTGAGGCTGACAGCTCTGGGGAACACAGATTTTACACAGGGTTCTGTGTTCTCTTCAGGGCTATGCTAGGCTTCAGTCATCGGCCTCATCCCTTCACTGTCTACATCCACTTTCTCACTGATTACAACCTCTCATACGTTAAACAATTTTAACACAATGAATTTATCTCTCCAGTTTGACTCAGACCAATTCCAGTCTTATTCCACCTTTTCTTTATGGTCTAGAATAATCAGAACACATAGGATAAGTTAGAGAAATGCTCTACAGATGAAAATCATACCATCCTTTGGAAAGGCAGGTGAGGGGGAGTTCTCCTCCTTGTACTGGACCCACCAGAACACTTAACGAAGTGTGAAAACAGTATGGGATTAACAACTGGTAAATACTACAGGGCCGACAGTTTTCTTTTTGCCTCTCACCAGCCATGTAAGAGTCAGTGTTGTTGTTAGGTGTTTGGAAACAGAATGAAAAGACAACAGTGATATTCACAAGAGCAGAAGTTATACTTGAAAGCCTGTAAGCTCTACACTGGGTAGGTACATTCTGCATCATTCATACAAGGAGGGCATGCATATCCAGAACATGAATATACCAGAGTTACAAACACAGTATGTATGAAACTCAGCATAGATCACGGGAGAATTCAGACACAGTTAAAACTAAATTTACCACCACCATTTGTTATTGAGTGAATTCTGATTCACAGCAACGCTACAGGACGGAATAGAATTTCTCCTTAGGGTTTTCTGAGACTGCACAGCAGACAGCCCCATAATGTGAGTTTGAACACCTACCACACTGCACCAAGCAGGCGCTTTAATTTACAGATCTCAAGAGAGGCAAAATGAAACAACACAGAGAATATAGATTGAGACTTGGATGTTACATTTATGGATGCTTCTTGGTTGTTAACCAAATACTCTGCAGGATTGGCTTCCTGGGTTTAAAGGGGTTAGGACCATACTGCTATTCAATGCTAGGTCAAGCAACGTATTCTCAACTCCAAACTCACTGCCATCGGGTCAGTGTTGGCTCATAGCAACCCCACCCCCACACCCCACCCCCGCGCCCGGGGGGGCGTTCCTGAGGCTTTAACTAGGAGTAGAAAGCCCAGTCTTTCTCCCTAAAAAGCTGACCATGGACAGCAGCCCCATGTGTTGAGCAGCATAAGGCAGCTCATAACACTTATCTTCTGCATCCCTGAGCCGTATTTGGTGAGTAAAGGAGACCTGGTGGCATGGTGGCTTACACATTGGGCTGGCTGCCACAAAATCAGCTGTTCAAAACTGCCAGCTTCCCTGCAGGAGAAAACTGAGACTTCCTATTCCTATAAGGAGTTACAGTGTCAGAAACTCAAGGGGCAGGTACTACCCTGTCCTACAGGGTCGATATCACTCGATGGCAGTGAGTGAATTTGGTGTTTAGTCATCTGAGACACAACTACTGTTGACTTACCTGGAGCAAAGGAGAAAGAAGAAAACCAAAGGTTCAAAGGAAAAACTAATCTAAAGTCTGTAGGGACACTTACACAAATCAAGCCCTATCTACTCTGAGATCGGAAATAAATGAGATGATGCCTGGCTATCAATAGACCCCAT